CTGCTGAACCTTTCGCTGCTACTGCTGCTGCTTCCAGATTCAAGATTCATATGAAGAGTCCCTAAGAGAGTAGATCCTGTATCAACAAAGACGACTCTATAGCTATTTGTGAGATTATGCTTTCACCATTAGAGAGCAAAAGTGGTGAACGCGAGAGCTGACTTACAGAGCTGGGTCAAATAGCTGTGGGGAATAAGTTTGTTTTAATCAGATGGAAATACTACAGCATATAAATTATGTACAAATCAGGAGGTGTCAGGAAAGTTGTCTTTTATATAGAAGTACAGTGCCAAACAATATGGTACTCGTGGTATTGTTCTATGTGCCAAAAGGATCCCTGCTCACTAGGCAACTAAAGCAGGCTAAAATAAGCCTTAAAAAGAATGTGCAAATATTATCTGGCATAGTTCTGCTCAGTAGGAAATTATCTCAACATTACGATGTGGTTTTCTTCTGCTAGCTACAGCTCTGTCCATTCAGACTTAATTAAACTTTTCAGTGAGTTGTCCTCCTGGAGTCGTGCTCCAAATGTCTGCCTCCCTCTCTATTAACGCTGATTTATGACTGCTGCAGTTCAGGGAAAAGACTGAATGACAGGGTGAAATTTTGCCCTGTTTTTTTTTCTTTCCTTTACATTCATTAACAGTTTTCATTGCATTTTCTTGTTCAATAGTAAAGTCCTGCTTTACTATAATCTCATTTCCATAGCATTGTACCTGTGGGCTGACCACCACGCTCTCAGCTTGTTACACCGACCGCGGAGCAGTGTCACAGAGACTTTTAGGCTTAAGTGCCCTCCTGAAGAGCAAACTGAGCTGAGCTCATGCAGGAGAGGAGAACATATTTCATAACTTTATGCTTACAGTTAAAAACCTGCAGTAAGTACAAATCACACAGGAAGGAGGATATATTGACCTTTAATCTTTAATAATAATAACAATTGTTTTAATTGTCCTCTTGATGGCAGCTTTTGAATAATCCATACCCCACAGTCCTCTGTGAGCAGTGTGATGTGCAAAATGTCAGATGGTAAACAGAGGAGCCACTGAGTTTGATTATGAGCTGAGGTTTTGACACCAGCACAACTGTATCTTGAAGCAGACAAGGGAAATATGTGTGCATGCATGTGAGGGGTGGGGGATGCCGGGGGGGGGGGGAGAGCCTTTGAGGTCGGCGGGGGGGGGGGGTAGCTGGAGACTCAGACTCGCGCCATCGGGGCGGACGATGGATCTGAGAAAGATAAAGAGGGAGGGAGCTGAATCTGTGTTTAGTTATGCTGATCACAGGCGCCCTTCAAAATGTCAGAGTGCACCAAGTGATTAGAGAGGCTGCAGATAAAGACCACAGCAAAGACTTACACCCTGATGGGAGGAGGAGTGGGGGGGGGCAACAGGAGGAGAAACCTGGAGATCCATGGGAAATTTTGGGGTTCAGGTGAAATGATCCAGAGAGGAAAGTTAGAGAGGTGTGGAGGAGAGGTGGGATGAAATGGGCAAAACAAGAGGAACAGAGACGATTGACATCTACATTTACAGAAAGGTAACATTTTAAGCAGGACAATAAATCCTGCGTCAGATGAGTGCATTACTGTAATAAATCGGGAATGACAGTAATAAAATGAGTTGAATAAATGTGGGATTCATGAGAGTATTTCTGAAATTAAATCAAAATAATTAAATCAAAATAACGAGTTTGCACTATTATGATAATGGCCCTGCACATTGTCCTGTCATGCTGTTTCAGTGCTATTATCCCTGTGGTCAGGGGGGAATTTGGCGTCTCCTGTATTAAAAAATGTTCTCTGTTAGGGTTTTTTCAAATCAATTCAGGTAAAAGCTTCGGCCAAATTCACATAAACTGAAATGTCATTAGAGAAAAACAAACCGTTAGAGTAATGAAATCACATTGCTGTTTTCCGTCAAATTTTGGAGACTGTCATGCCTCAGTTTTGAAGTAATGGAAGGATTACATTTTTCTGTGTAATTCTTTTCGCTGGGGAGGTTCAGTGACCCATAAAAAATGATCTCTAAAAGTACGTTGTTCAATTAAAAAACAAAGCTTTTCATTTCTGTTGCTGAAGAGCTTCTGTTTCTGAGACATTGGGCTTTCACCTGAAAGCAAATAAATGAAAGTAAATGAGCACATTTCAAGATAACAAGTCAAATGAATTGTGTTAAAATGAAATTTCATTAAGCCAAAATAGGAAATAGGGGTCTATTAAAAGTTTGAGCTCTGATTATTTTATAAGCTTATAAAAAACATGCATGTGTTTCAGTATGTGCATCAAAACCTGTTGAGTGGGTGGTTGGATGGATGTGTGTGTGTGTGTGTGTGTGTGTGTGTGTGTGTGTGTGTGTGTGTGTGTGTGTGTGTGTGTGTATGTGTGTGTGTGATGATTGGTGGAGAAGCATATAAATTAATATAAAAGGTGGTTTGAGGTTTATGGCGAGGAATGATTGTGAAAGGTCATAAGACAGAGTCTGACATTTACCAAGGCAAACATTTTATTGCTAGTAATGCACACACACACACACACACACACACACACACTGTGTGAAACACACAGTTTCAGCGTCTATCATTGACAAGTTCTTGACAGCAGAGTGTGGGGAGCCAGAAACATTGTTGTTCGTCTGCTGCTCAGATCAACTTTATCAAACATTACTTATCGGGATTTGCACAAGCATTTCAAGATCCACGGCTTAAGATGCAACACACTCAAATTATTTCTCTGTCAAACACACACACACACACACACACACACACACACACACACAGGCTGGCTCCAACTTCATTACAACAGCACTCTGGCAGGCTGATTGAGTGATCAAAGCTAATCGCATTTAATCATATCTAATCATATGTAATAACCAACACTGAGTGCTCAGGCATGGCAAGACTCCCCCCTCTCTGTCCATCTTTCCCTTTTTCTCTTCTCTCCCCCTTCACTTCCTAACACCCTCACCCCTCAACCACCCACTAACTACTCGTCTTTCTCCATCGCCATGCCCTCCCTTGTCTTCCGTGTTTGCTCTGTCGAAAAACAAGACTGAATGTGAGTGAGAGATGGAGGAGAAAGGGGTGGAAGGGCTGGGGGGGTCAAAAAGAAGAGGAAAAGTCAAATAAAATAGAGGGTGTCAGATGGACACCCTCAGTAGACCATAGAGCCCCCCCCCCCAGCAGGCACAGCACCTTACGACGGCGCCAGTACCTTTGTGCCGTTGTGCGCTTAAGGAAGGAACAAGATGCTCTTTCCTTCCGGCTCTGCTGTGTGACTAACAGCTTTGTCAGAACAACTGGAAGAGGATGATCTGGCAGTCACGGGCAATATTTTCAACATTATCATCTTCTTTCCAATTTATATTCAGTACACAGTTTTAAAAGCTGCAGAGTCTTAAGCCTCTGCGATTTCATCCAGTGTTTTTCTATGCTTTGATCAGATTGTGAAGTCCCACAGAGATGCTTCTTTAAACCTCGCTAACATGTAATAATAATGCAGCGTGATAACTGGAACTGGTAGGGATTTAAGTAGACTGCACACAGAGTGTAAATATCCTTATGGTATGAATTCATAGTTGTCACATGGGATGTTACGAACGCTCATCTGATAAAGTTGTGGTTGTGAGACGACGCAGCTCTGTGTGCCTGTTTGTATTATTTGTAATGTGGAAGGTGAACATGTAAAAAACCTTGAGGCAAAACTCAATCTTGCATGAGCTGTAAATATAAACTCTGCTGTTATCTCAGATCAACTCTCCTGTTTCCAAACCTCATCTTTATTAAAGTAGAAAGCTGCTTTTGGAGGACTGAAAGGAAAACAAACTGCTCTCACCTTGCAATTACATTTTCCATTTTAAGGCATCAATATGTTTCAAATGAAGTGTTTCTCTGATGATCAAATGGCACCTGAAGCACCCTCCCCCCACATCTCTCTGACAGTAGAGTTGGGGGGCAGTTTTTTTTTTTTTTTTTATTTTCTTTGACAATTGGACCAGCATGCCCAGTTTTTGTCTGGCTGTGTGAACGGAAGAATAGAGACAGGATTTGAACTTCTCTCTCAAGCCCTCTTCTTTCAGTTCCTGCCACAACAACAACATTATTTCCATCTGTAGTTCATCCTGCCTCAGCCCTCCCTATGATGGCAGGCTTATCGCCCCGCCTTCAAGTGTGGCCAGTCAGAACAGCTATAAACACTCTTGCCTTTAGACATAGTTGGACAACATGTCAGGTGAACTAATCTATTTTAAGCACAACCCCAGCCTTTACTCTGGAGAGGGATCCTTCATGCTTGTCTCTCTTTAGGATTTATGGATGTGCTGATTTCTGGTGTGAAAAGATGATTCATCAAAGTCAAAAGAGATTAAAAAAAATAGATTGGCTCTTGTTAAATTTGATCAAACTGATCAGAGGCAGACTGTAATTAAGATAACCACCGTGTTTTCAAACACTTCAACTCCAAGTTAAGTGCTTCTATCAAAGCTTCAAAGGAAGCATCACCGAGGAACGGAGATATGTGATTTGTGAGCCATTAGATATTTGCCAGCTGTATCGACATACGCTCTCACGTTTCATAAATAATCTGCTTCTCCTTGCCTAATGAACGCTGCAAATGCATTGTCAAGTGGTTGGTTTTTACAGTGCCAAAATGAAACAAAAGCGCCAAGTGTCCTGAGGAGCAAAACTAACTCCAGTAATCCCTGACAACGAGTTCAGTTCATTTTTAAGTGCCTCGCTCGTGTCTCCAGCAGGCACAGATTGCTGTACGTTTACCGAGTGTGACACAGTTTCAATATTGTTTCAGAGGCCTTTGCAGCCTGCCAAGCTGAATATCTGGGGAAGAGTTGTTGCACCATAAACCTTGTACCCACAAAAGAAAAAAAAAAATACAACAAAAAAAAACCAAAACTATAGCCAAGGCCTCAGGTTTTTGGAGATGCACATTGAGATCATAAACAAACAACCAAACAGAAATCAGGGCATCTGTTTGTCTCCCTCCCCAGGATGCTTTGCTGCGGCTGGCGGCAGTTGTTGACACGCGCTCGCTGCGAGTGGCCCTTCGAGACAGCGTACAGGAGCTGCTACCCAGCACGGTATTTGAACACAAACACACTCATATTGGCACAAACAGTTGAACATAATTGAAATTTTCTTGATTTATTATCTGAATAATAGTTAAAAAAAAAAAAAAAAAAGCTTCCTGTTAGTATTCAGTGTAGTGGAGCTAAATGTGCTGACATAAGACCAAGGGAACACAGACCCAGGCCTTGTTGCAAATGGATGAGGCTCAGCACTCATTAAATTAATTAAAATCTTGTTAATATTACAAATGAACGTGCACGTAAATGTGTGTGTTTTTTTCTTAGGAGTGTGTATGTGTCTACATGCTGGAGGGAGACTCGAGGCTGCTATCTGACGACCCACCGCATGAACTGCAACTGGAGGGAAAGATCAGGTGTGTGCTGTTTGTGTGTGTGTCTCAATGCAGTACGCTGCAGATGTTTCGTCTCAGTGAATCACCGCTGTGCGCTGATTTGCTACAGCTTTGCTGAGGGCGGCGATGCCCAGAAAAGCAATAGAAAAAGGGTGAGATGAAGAGGGGAAACAGAGACGGCTGTTTTCTCTGTGTGAAAAGCAGGTGTCACCTGAATGAATATGAGCCGCTCAGCCCGAAATCACATCATCAACACAGAGAGGAGTGTCACAGAGAGAGAGATCTCATCATTGAGAAGCAAGGTGGACCCTCTCCGTCTCTTTTATCCTCTCATTTTTACCACATCTTACTTTCTTACTTCCTTCTTCCATGTCCCATCTCTATTGCTTTCTCATTAAAACTCTTCCTTTATCTCACTTGTCTCCCTCTTATTACACTCCCCTCTCTATCTCTCTGACAGCCTCTTTCCCACTGTTGTCATCTGCTATTTCACCTTCCCACCTCACTGCATCAGTCTGTGTTTGCCCTTTTTTTTCTGCTCTCAGCCCGCTCACTCCCTGAAGAGCAATGAAGCACTAAGCCGGCTGTGCTTCGGTCTTTCTACTCCCCCCACTCCCTCTCTTCGATGCTCCTCTTTATCTCTCACCTTCAATCCCTCTCCCCGTGGAAGCGTTGCAGGGCTAATAGCCGAGGTGACAGTGCCTGGGGTCCCACAGAGAGACATGGCGATCCTCTCCTCTCTTAAGTGCTCTCTGAAGCTCTACAACCCCGTGTGCGACCGCAACTGCTGCCCAGGCGCTCGCAAAAACCAACACTACATTATTGATGAAACTGTCTGTTTGTCAGACAAGAACCCTTTTCACAACAACTCATTGCCACACAAACATGGGATCACACACAAACATGCTTGTGCGCACACAAACACACAAGGACACAAGACACAGAGGCACAGACGCACACATTCAAACCAGTGCACTCACACACATACACACACACACGCACTTGCAAACGCATTTGTCAGTACTGCATGCAGGCAAGAGGTAGTAGGGATATTAAAAGAGCTACAGGGCACTTTGTTACTTTTCTCCCTCCAATTCACCTGCTTACATAAGCCTGTTATCAAGACCTTGGCATAGACACACACACACACACACACACACACACTCACAAACAAGCACAAACACCCACAACCAACATACTCAATGAACCCATCTGAGAGGCAGAAGGCCACATTGTTTGAACTTCATTCCAGCCCACTTTCTAATACACACCGGCCCATTAACTGGACCCGGACACACACAGACACACGAAGAAATGCACAAACAAGTTCAGCTAAGACATCTTCTGTGATTGTTTCTCCTCTAAACTATGTGTTGTGTGCAAGATAACTGAAGTCTCTCAGCCAAAACAAGCTATTGTTAGAAGTATTGTAGTGGGAAGATGCACAACCCAAGGTTTAAAAAACACAGAAAACAGTGATACACAATGCAGTTGCACAACTGTTGCAATACAGTTTTAGTTGAAGGTTAGTTGCATTTCCATTTAACTTTTACCAATTTTGTGAAACTATTGTGTACTATTTACATTTAGCTTAACTGGCAGATTACTGACAGATTTGCAGATGTAAATTATGTATAACTATTGTTTTGACCACATTCAGTTCATATAATAATGTGTAATTTCCAGTCTCATACTTGCTACAACTACAAAAACACAACCAGCAGCACACCAAATCCACAGCAGGAAAATGTATTTATACATTATGTAGGTGACCAGCCAAGCATGCAACCTCTACCACAGCGCCTGCACACTGTGTTTTCCTTCAAAACAGTTTTATTTTTTTGAGCTATGCATGCAGAGGTACTGCAATTCCCCTCCAGAGTTTTATATCCTTAAATGCATGACTGAACAAACATATGGACAAAAAAAACACAGACTAATAACTGTTATAGTCGAGCTTAAGGTTCATCTGCAAAACTGTCTAGAGAAAATAACTAAATACAATACAATAACTGCATACAGCATATCTCAAGAAAGACATAATGATTCGGAATTAGTCTCGTTTTTGCTCATCAACACACCATCAGCTGTTTGGAACTGACAAATGGAGTTCATGGTGCAGGTTCAGGCAGGAATATGATGTCATTAGCACCACCCAGATCAATTAAACATCAGCTGATTTCTACGAGTGCCAGCTACTCACCTACACACAGACATGACTGTACCTGAGTGGTCCATTTAAATCTCCATGTCCAAGTCTTTGCTTCTGCTGCCACTAACTGTTGCCATTGGCCACCACTGCACACAGTACTCCAGCTTTGACCTATATGTTATTATACATATATTGTCATATGTGAACATGAAATAACAGTAGTGTTCTTTCTGCCCCTGGGTGGTTTTTTTTATTGTTTTTTTTCCATGCAGAGTATAAATTGGCTTCATGATCATGCAGGAAAGGTGCTTTGAACAAAGACATTAAACAAATGTCAACTGTATTTTTCCACAGTGGTAAACTACAATGAGAGTGTTTTTGACTGAAGTAGACTATTCCCCAGTGAGCTGAAATAAATGGACATTTTTAAATCAATGCACCATGCAGACATTTGGCTGCAATGGTTGGAGGGGGTTTCAGAGCATGTAACCGAGACTGGGAGGACTACTGCTGTGTGTGTGTGTGTGTGTGTGTGTGTGTGTGTGTGTGTGTGTGTGTGTGTGTGTGTGTGTGTGTGTGTGTGTGTGTGTGTGTGTGTGT